CTCTCTCTCTCTCTCTCTCTCTCTCTCTCTCTCTCTCTCTCTCTCTCACTCACTCACACACACACACACACACACACACACACACACACAGAAGTATTATATATTTAAAGCTTATAATTAAAATTGTGGATACCAGAAAAGCTATGAAATTATGAATGGGGGAATATGGGTGATGATTAGCCCCTTTGTGGTTCTTGAGCATTAAGATGAATTCTACACCTGTGAGGTTTTAGCATCGACTCTATTTCATTTAGTTAGGAAAAGGAAGCATTAGAACCAAAAGCATTAATATGATGGAGGACCATGCTAATTCTATATGCACATGTTTTTGAAATCAACATTCAACTGTACTGTATATCATTTAATCTTTTAATTAAAACTAAAATCCAGATTTTGATTCCATTTAGACTAACTGTGACACCGTGTTACCTTGAAATATGTCCCGAATGCAAAGGGATTTAGTCTAGTAAGAAAGAGGATTGCACCCAAAAGCTTTTCTGTCTCCAACTTCACCTTAAATAAAATAAAACTAGATTTTCAATACATAGTTTAAGAATACCCGATAATTAATTTAAGAAATGCCTGCACCATCAACTTTAAGTAGAATGCAACCTTAGAAATGACCTCCAAATTAAAAAAAATGAATATTTGGATTAAAAAAAAGTTTTGAAGATCCATCTTACCATTAAAATAAACAGCACAGCAGCTGTTCTGTAAGGAAGCCAGTCCATTTCATCTGTAGTTTCTTAAATCCAAGGAAGGGGAAATAATGCTCCAGGTGTCTGTACCTTTCCCTCCCCCCCAGTGGCAATGCCTGTAAAAAGACACAGCACAGATGTTCTTCCACCCAAGCTTTGGAGCAAACCTCTGGCTACCTCACATGGGAGCACTGAAGATGCTGTATTACACAAAATATCTCTCCACCCAAACTACTGGGCAGGTCTGACTCGAAATGCTTGACAACATCATTATTGCTCCAAGGGAAAAGAGATTCTGACACACCTTGATAGTTGTTGAAATAAAATATTTTCTTGGCACCCAAGAGAACAGAAAGATCAGAAACTACCCAAACTACCCGATTAATCAAATCTTTTCTTCTTCTTTGTGTGCATCCATCAAAACCAATAGCTCAATGAACAGGAGTGTGTGGGAATCTTGAAACACTGGAATAACTCTTGGGATTCTATTTCAATGTATTAACTTTACAGACTGAACCTGGCCTGGTTTGGTGCATCTGTTCCTTTCAGATAATTCGAGGATGGTCTCCATGTGAAGGACGTGGCCCGGTTGTCCCTCTGCTTTTTAAAAAAATAAAAGACCATACCTCTGAAAGGAGTTTCAAAACTTGACTTCTCCCACTCAAAAAAAGAGCCTCTGCATGGAGAGGACTCCATTTACTAGGATGGTTGAGAGCTCAGTATACATGCAAGGTGAAATGCCAAACGTATGCTTCATTAAAGTGAATGGGGCTGCTTGTGAAGCTTCTGAATCTTGTAGTATGTAATAAATTAGTTCAGCTATCTTTATTTAATTGTTTCAGAGTTCAAAGTTTCTTACATCAGAAATGCCCAGGATTTTTAAAAGACAAGACTTTTAAAACTTTGTTAAAAGGCATATGTAATTGATTTGTCCCCCAAAAACTATTTGGAAGTCTGTGAAGACCTGCCTCTTCTCCAAAGCATTGGGCTAGGATGGGAGGTGAACTGGAAGCATATTTGGTTTGGCATTTGGGGAAGGATACTTTTGTTTTTAACCATGTTTTTATGGATTTTTGTGAGCTGATTAGAGTTAGCCAGCCATATAAGTTCTGAAAATTAAAATAAAATAAAAATCAGGGACACCTATATGTCTTCCATAAGGAGTAATGCAACTAGTACTATCCTTAATAGATAATTGAAAGTTATCTGGTTGGGTGGAGGAAAAATAGCCTTGAAGGACAAACAGAAGAGCTGCTACTAATTAAGATAAAAGGGGCTGGAGTCCAGGCCAAAAAAGTAACATAAGAAAATGTTACTTTTCTACTTTTGCATCAGGCAAGCCCTTCCTTTTTTCCACACAATGATAAAGGAAAGGAGGGGACTTGCAAGACATCAATAAAGAATAGTGAAAAATGATGAGGGCCAGAACCTCAGAATCTGGGTATACAGAAGCCATAGGAAACGTTTTTGTTGAGAACCTATGACAAGATTACTATGCGTACTTTGAGAGATCTCAGAGTATATAAATTGAGATCCCCCCACTTGTGTCAACTGAGATTTTATTCCACCGGTGGAGATATATCCATCATTGAATCTTCTGCTGCAAAGCTCTGAGTTAACTTATTCCTTATTCTGCCTTCCCAAAATTTGTTTTCAAAGCCATTTTCAAAGCAAAAGTGAGTTACACATGCAGAGAGATACTCAAATACACATACAATTAACAAATGAATAGTAGAGGATTTCCTGTATAGGCAGATGGTTGAATGAGATGACCTTTAGGGCATCTTCCCAACTCTGTGACTCTATAGTTCTAAGTAATAATCAACCAAAAACAACATGTTGAAAGCAAAAGCAGCAATAGGCAAAGCTCAGACCTAGACTGGGAAGCTAGAAAAAAATCTCTTATCTAACTTGCGCTGGACTATGTTGATGGATGATGTCCATCATAACCATAGGGAAAATTCATTTATCCTGCAGTGGATTGGTTCAGGCTGATATATCATACACATGCATAAGAAGTCCTTACATATTGTATTACTTCCTTTTCCTTTCCTCTTTCCTTTCCCTTTCATTTTTTCTCTTTGTTCTGCTTTATTTAATAAATACATGTTTTTTTTTAAAAAAAGACACAGATTCTGGGTGGGATGTTTCATCTCCAATTGTCCTACATTGAGTCATAAAATAAAAGCTCTTGCATGAGCAAATTAGAGGCCCATAGAATTCCATTTCCATATATGGCAGTTGAATCCTCCTAGGGGAGTATTTGTACTTGTATACATGTTTTTTATGGACATGCTTGTTGTTTCATGGTACTTGTTTCATGCTTGCTATTTTAGTGACAATTGTGAATTATTTACACAGGGCCAATAATTGGAAAAATATAAGAGATAATACTGTATATATTTCACTATTCATAACAGAGCATTTTGAACTGCTATGGTTCCAACTCTTGTTTTTTAAAAGCAATTTATTACACTCTTCCAGATGTGCCAGAGATGTAGTTGTAAGAATTAGCTGCCTGGTTGTTCAGTTCAATTCAATTCACTTTGTCATACTATAATATAGGGGTCCCCAAACTTGGCAATTTTAAGACTTGTGAACTTCAACATTCCTAGTATGGCTACTAGGAATGGATTAAATGAGTCGAAGTCCACAAGTCTTAAAGTTGCCAAGTTTGGAGACCTCTGCTCTAATACATCAACAATAGAAAACAGCCTAAAAAAAGAATTTTCTGTAAGAAAACTGATAAAATCCCAACAGTTAATGTTTGACTTTTCTTCAGTTCTTCTTTAAGAAATAGTAATGCTCTGTTTCTCTGGTTCTGAGCTTACTGGATGAAATAATTTATTATCTTTTTTCTGTATTTTCTTAATCAGCTGACCTTCATCTCCATATTTGCAAGCAATCACTGTCCCTCTGTTTATTCAAAGAAGGCACTTTGACTCTTCTGTGATGATAAATAAATACTGTTCCCACTAGTGAAAGTATAGATTCTCCAGACCGAAATACACTTCACTCGGTAATGCATAGGAGTTGGCAGTCCTTGAAACAAACAACTGTAAAAGCTGTGGGGTGTGTGAGGACAGAATGCTGGGAGAAAAGATGGCTGTACAATTTGTGCCCGAGGAATGACCCAGATAGGATCAGTTGGCTCTAGAAAATCCTCAAGGAAGCTTTGAAGTCAGTTTGCTTTTCCTGCTTTTGTTTTCCAGCAAGCACTCTATTCTGCAGCTAACTGCTTATAAGTGGAGCTTCATTGCATTATCATGGGAATGATACTCAGAAAATAACTTCTAGTTACTGCCATTCTTATATCCTCCAATAGTAAATTTCATACATTTATATTGATGGGGAAAATTCATGTTTAATTTCTCCGGGACCCTCTCCCTCCTCCAATCTATTGTTCATAAAGGACAGGATAGCTGCAGTATGGCTACTAGGAATGGATTAAATGAATCTTCAGATTTACAAAGATATCTGTTATGATAAGAAAATACTTTTAAAACATAGGTTGACAGGAAACCCCTAACCACACTTAACTTTTTTAAAAAATGTGCTTGGACTTAAGTGTTAGTAAAAGATTTGATGTGGGTCTGGAATATGTCATAGATAAATGCAAAGTTTATGAGGATGATGAACCAGATGAGCAAACAGGATCCCCTATCTTCCTGTATACACTGAAATGCCTCTGGGTAGAAATCCCCAGCACTTAGCTAGAAACTTTATCAGCAATTGTAAATAGCAACGAAGTTTTGTCTATAGTGTCGTAAATCTTCAAAGCATCCATTTAAACATTAGATAAACTTTTGACTTGACTGATAAACTTTTGAAGACTGTAATTATGTGCAAGCTTACTAAACAGAAGAAAAGGGAAAGAGCGCTAAAAATAGTACCATGAGTTTGTTAATTTTGTTAATTTTCTATATGCAAATACTTTAATCTTCCAATTAAATTTAAATCTAGCAAAAAATTTCCTATTGTACTGTGCAGATCATCATCATCATCATCATCATCATCATCATCATCATCATCACTGTCATCTCAGTTCACTGCAGGATGAAGGCCTCTTTAATGAAGGTTATGGACTATGTCATATAATACATATGATTTCTGTATAGAATAAGATGCATAATATATGATCTATTAAACTTTACAAGTTATGAATATATGTCAGTACATTG